CACTCTGTGCATCGGGAGTAGACTGTGTTCTGCTTACAGTCTGCTGATTGCCAGCTACGTCTGTAAAAGGTTCTTTGTTTTCTGACTGTGAGTCTGGCTGTGATTGCTGCTGATGCTGTCCCAAATGAGGCCTGGGCCCCCTCCACCGGGGACCACTAGGTCGGGAACCATGTCCATGTGATGCATTTGTCGAAGTATAAAATTGTGCTGCTGGTCCTCGTGGTATAGTCCCCCATCTACTTGAAGACTGTCCATCTGTATTCTGTCGGTCAAAACGTGACCTGTACCCTTCTGCGCGCTGGGAGTCAAAACGAGGCCCTCTCTGTCTTGAGCCTTCAAATTTGTCATATCCTCTTCCTCGAGGTCCATCAAATCTGTAGATGACATAATAGCAATTTTATTCAAATGAACACATCACATTAAAATCCTGTAAAAGAGAGATTCATCCCCCTCAAAAGTCACTTGTAACTGATGAATCCTAGTGTGCCTTAGGATCAAACCCTACTGAACCAGTGCAGAAGCACAGAGACATGTTCTTCAATTCAATATTGTGCACTGAAGACCAGTTTAAGCCACTTGCAGATTATGTAACCCTAAAAGGAAATTTGGCTTAAGTATCTCAGAACTGGAACCTGACTGACAAAGCAAGCTGGCAAACTCATTTGAAAAAAAGCTTTCAACTTTTGTTTAATGGAGCTTTTGTTGCAACCAACAGCTCTTGTTGAATTTTTGTTTTGACAGTATGCAACAAGCCTACTTAACTATGGTGGTAAATGCCATCTAGAAAAATCTTTACAGATCCTTTCAGAAAGTGCAACAAACTGTGATATGCCCAGTTCCATGCAAGACAATATGCCTAAACCAAATAAATTTTTATTGCATCACTCTTTAAATTTGTTCTGAGAGCACCTACAACTGCTATTGCCTGAATATGAGGAAATAGGTCAGGCAATCTAATGAAGAATAATTCATGCAATCATATTTAACATGGGTGATCTAGTAAAAAATCCAATCTTTAAGCATATGCTCAAATACTGATTTACATAATAGACTAGAACAAATCAAATTCATTTTACACAAAATAGAGAACTCATGTCTGAAGTCAAGTTGCTTGGATATTTGGGATTCACAGTTGTGTGTCACTGGATGGGGTCAGGATGCCAAAGCACAGCTGGAGCTGAACTTGGCAAGGGATGCAAAGTGTAGTAAGATGGGCTTCTAGGGTAGACAGGGACTGGGGGAGGAAAGTCCCTCCCACTGTAAGAGAAGATCAGGTTCATGACTACCTGAGGAACCTGAACACACATGTCTATGGGACCTGATGAGATGCATCCTAGAGTCCTGAGGAAATTGGCTGATGTAGTTGCCAAGCCACTCTCCATGATACTTGAAAAGTCATGGCAGTCAGGTGAGGTTGCTGGTGACTGGAAAAAGGTAAACATTTTTTAAAAAGGACCACAGGAACTACTGACCTGTCAGCCTCACCTCTGTGCCTGGGAGGATCATGAAGCAGATCCTCCTAGAAGCATGTGGAAGACAGGGAGGTGGTTGAGGACAGCCAGCATGGCTTCGCCATGGGCAAGTCTTGCCTGACCAACGTTCTAAGATGGAGTGACTACATCAGTGGACATGGGAAGAGCTATGGATATCATCTACCTGGACTTCTGTAAGGTCTTTGACATGGTCCCCCACAACATCCTTCTCTCTAAATTGGAGAGAGATGGATCTGATGGATGGACTGTTCAGTGGATAAGGAATTGGTTGAATGGTTCCATCCAGAGGGAACGCCTCGATGTCCAGATGGAGACAGGTAAGAAGTGGTGTCCCTCAGGGGTCTGCACTGGAACCAGTACCGTTTAATATCTTCATAAATTACATAGACAGTGGGATCGAGCGCATCCTCAGCAACTTTGCAGAGGACACCAAGCTGAGCGGTACGGTTGACATGCCTGAGGAATGGGATGCCATCCAGAGGGACCTGGACAAGCTCCAGAAGTGGGCCCATGTGAACCTCATGAGGTTCAACACAGCCAAATACAAGGTCCTGCACCTGAGTCAGGGCAACTCCCAGTATCAATACAGGCTGGGGGATAAAGGGATTGAGAGCAGCCTTGCAAAGAAGGACTTGGGAGTACTGGCAATGAAAAGCTGGACAAAAGTTGACAATGTGCGCTCACAGCCCAGAAGGCCAACCGTATGCTGGGCTGCATCAAAAGAAGCGTGGCCAGCAGGTCGAGGGATGAGATTCTGCCCCTCTACTCTGCTCTGGTGAGAGCCCACCTGGAGTACTGCATACAGCTCTGGAGCCCCCAACACAGAAAAGACATGGACCTGTTGGAGAGGGTGCAGAGGAAGGACACAAAAATGATCAGAGGGATGGAACACCTCTCCTATGAGGAAAGGCTGAAAGAGTTGCGGTTGTCCAGCCTGGAGAAGAGAAAGCTCTGAGGAGACCCTGTTGCAGCCTTTCAATACTTAAAAGGGGCTTATAAGAAAGATAGGGACAGGCTTTTTAGCAGGGCCTATTGCAACATGACAAGGGGTAATGGTTTTAAACTAAAAAAGGGTATATTCAGAGTGGATATAAGGAAGAATTTTTTTACAATGAGGGTGGTGAAACACTGGAACAGGTTGCCCAGAAAGGTGATAGATGCCCCATCCCTAGAAACATTCAATGTCAGGTTGGATGGGGCTCTGAACAACCTGATCTAGTTGAAGATGTCCCTGCTCATTGCAGGGGGGGTTGGACTAGATGACTGTTAAAGGTCCCTTCCAACCCAAACCCTTCTATGATTCTATGGATGTTAACTCATTACCACCTAGTTACCAGCAACAATTGACTTGTTGCAGAATTTACTGTTTCAGTGAGCAATTTATCAAACAAGATCATTTATACAACCTCAAAGAATTTTAATAATCCTAATAAGTTAACACAGTAAACTGCCTTTTTTGGGAGTAGGGGCAGGTCAAGATGAACAGGGGGAGAAAAAAGAAGAAATTACAAAGTGTAGTGGCAAAAATAACCTAGATCTGAAGGATCAACTTTTACATGCAAGGTATAGCTAGAATATTGGACACTGTAAGACACACTTCATCCCCCAAATGCTGAAAACTAGTTTTAACACGTTCTTTAGAATTTCTTGAGAAACTTAATTGCTGAAAAGAAGTGAAGGGGTTGTGTGTGTCTTTTTATATGTGTAGTCATTACCTGGGACGCCAGCAGGTAAAACACAACATTTTTAATTTATCCCAAGTTCAGTTAAAATTTATTAGGACTCTCTTTTCTACTAACTACATTGAGAAGAAACAGTAAACAGGTTTTTGGGAAAGCTTTGATAAAACCCTAGAATGATCATGCAATCGCAATATAGGAATACATGAAGGTCAGAGTGTTAATTAAATACCATAAGTATGCTCAAAACCAGAGCTCCTCTATGTGCATTCTAGAAATTTTTGATTATCCATAGCCTATCATTGCACATCACTGAGCTCTAAACCAATGCACATAAAAAACATGCACTGGCAAATCATGAAAACAGTCTATTCAGAACTGTGCATCCAGCAAATCCCTAGGACCAGAAACAACACTTTTCAAAAACCATCAGGAGGTAGAAAATCATTCAAAAATACAAAAAATTCATTTGAATTGCTATCAATTCATGAATTATTATTCATGAATGATCATTTTGGAAGCGAAGGGAAATAAACATGAAGATATGACTGTAAAGTCTAGCAGAGTATGTAAGGATAGAAACAATTTAACAGAACAACACTGTTCTTTGATTCAGTAGGCGTCACATCAACCCGTCTTCAACTAATGACCAGACAGAACAGATGTTGTTTTTGC